CTTAATGACTGGGCCACCCAGGCGCCCCTCATACTCCATTCTTTAGAAGCAGCTCACTAAGTGTAGCTCACCCTGAATTCTGGGTAGGGGTGCAAGATTGGGAATTAAGCTTCTGTAGGGTAGAAAATCTATATATTTTACCTGGAATTCTGTATAAAAGATTTGTCTCTTCCCCCTTTATTTCAGTGTGGACTCATTCATGCTTATTTTATACTTGGAGTTCTTAATTACATGTTAGGTTCTTTATTTTGCTTTGGACACTGATAGCTCTTTTGGATTGGTTCCTGTGTCCATTAATATCCCTATCGTTTTGGTTTTTGAGGATTTCTTTCCTGATACGATTTTCAGATTCATTTTGTTTTTTTCCCCTTCCCTGGTCCTAGAATCAGCCATTTCTCCTAAGAGCCCTGGTTTCCTTTTATTGGAAAATAGTATTTAGAAACCAAGATCGGGGTGCTAGGGATACTCATTGCTGTTGGTGTGCCACTGCCTCTATGCCCTCTACACCACCTAACCAGGCAATAAACGTGTGTATGCATGTATACGGACATATAGCTGTCATTGTTTTATTATCTGTCTGTCTGTATCTGCATTAAGCTAAACATGAGCTCATACTGATGTCTCCAGCTCCCATCCAGTTTTTCAGGGTGCATTCTAGCCATCTTGTCCTGTTTAGCTGTTACTTTTTTTTCTCAGACAGTGAGAAAACTGGCTCCCACCATCCATCATCCATCCCCATGAGAAACAAATTTACTAACTTGGTAGTGCTCATGTGCAGTTCCTTTGTCTTTAATTTTCAGTCAAAACATTGTTTTTTAAAGTTTGTAATTATTCTATCATAGGGTACAGTTTGTGTAGTGTATTGATCAACTACAAGTACTTTTTAATTTCCCAACATATGTTGATAATCTAGTTGGTTTTGTAATATTGATTTCTAGCATAACTTGTGATCGGGCAGCATAATCTGTATGATTTTGATCCTTTGAAATATGTTGAGACTTGCTTTGCAGCCCAGTTTGTGGTCTATTTTTTTTTTTTAAAGATTTTGTTTATTTGAGAGACAGAGAATGAGAGAGAGAGAGAGCACATGGGGGGGGAGGGTCAGAGGGAGAAGCAGACTCCTTGCCGAGCAGGGAGCCCGATGTGGGACTCGATCCAGGGACTCTGGGATCATGACCTGAGTTGAAGGCAGTCGCTTAACCAACTGAGCCACCCAGGCGCCCTGTGGTCTATTTTTATAAGTAATTTGTCTGTGACTGAAAAGGAACTGAATTCTGCAATATTTGGCTTATAGCCACAAAGTTCTAGATACTTTATTAAATGTTTATTAAACATTTAATATTTATTTTTTTATTAAATGTTCCACTCAGACTTTGGACTGTGTTGGTATTTGGTTTATTTCATGCTGTGTTAATAGATGAACACAAAATTAATAACCCTTATTAAACAGTCTTCCATGTGCTTTGTAGAAAATTAGAGAATAGAGACAGGTAAAATTTTTTCTAAATATTAAAACGTCTTGGGGTGCCTGGGTGGCTCAGTTGTTAAGTGTCTGCCTTCCACTCAGGTCATGATCCCAGAGTCCTGGGATCGAGCCCCTCTTCGGGCTCCCTGCTCAGTAGGAAGCCTGCTTCTCCCTCTCCCACTCCCCCTGCTTGTGTTCCCTCTCTCGCTGTGTCTCTCTCTGTCAAATAAATAAATAAAATCTTTAAAATAAATAAATAAATATTAAAATATCTTATTTCTACCACTATAACACCTTAGTGGATATAATACACGCATGCCTATACATGTTTTTCTTTTTACCAAAGGGACACCATAGTCTTACTGTTTTATAACCTGATTTCTTTATCAGTGATTTTTCTGCTTACTATTTCTATGACATTTTTATTTTATTGCATCTTCAAAACCCAAATTCTATTCATATTACTCCATTTGGCCCAATATGATTTGTTCAGATCAGTATCCCAATGCAAGACTGTGCATTCCATCTTTTCTGCTTTTTTTTTCACAATATTGGCCAAACACAAGTTAATACTCAGAAGCATGTGTTTTTTAACAAAAACATAAATCTTTTAAATTTTCCTTATGTGTTTGGCCCAAGATTTGTGAGATTTATCTTGTATCTTCCCTGTCCCGTTCTTGGAATTAAACATTTCTTTAAGGATTCCCTGATCATAATAATAGGTATTTAGAGATGACAATGCAAATGATCAGGGTGCTTATTGCCACTAGCCTTTTTGACATTTTTTCTATTTCCTGAAAACCTATTTCAGATTTTTGTCCTTTGTAGGATTGATTTTGATCAATATTTTCTTATGTTTGTCTTCACTTTTATATCTTAATGTTTTGTTTGTTCTCCCCCTTTTTTCTTGATTAGTTTAGCTAGTGTATCATCATACGTTGATTTTTTTTCTCCAAGAGATATCTTTTTGGTTTTTTGTTTTGTTTTTTGGGTTTTTTTGTTTTCTTGGAGATTGGGGGTGGGGGAAAAAGGGAGCAGGAGAGAGAATTTTAGGCAGGCTCCACGCCTAGCCCCGAGCCCAACACAGGGCTTGATCTTACAACCCTCTGATCATGACCTGAGCCGAAATCAAGAGTTGGACGCTAACCATCTGAGCCACCCAGGCTGCCCTCGAGAGATATCTTTTTGAATTTATGTGTTGGTTTTCTTTTTCTAAACTCATTACATTCTGGGTTTTTTATCTTTATACTTTCTGCTTTCCTTTAGCTTACTTTGATGTTTTTCTAAACATTTTCATAAATTGTTTACTTAATTTGTGTTGAGGTGACAACTTTTCTCTGGGCATTATGGTTAAATATTTTACCTTCTGAAAGGTATTATTTTCATTTTTGTCTGGTTATATTTCTTTAGTTTCACTGTTTATTTCCTCAGTATAATAAAGATGCTGACTCTATTTTTGATTTTTGACTGCTCACAGCTTTCAAGCCCCACGTTTCTACCCCACTGTTGGGCAAGCAGATAAAAAGCCTGAGAGCTCCCTACTTTGGTGCCTGTGGAAAGTTCAAACCATGCAAACCTCATGCCCAGGAAACCTCAGCCCTGCCCTACACCCTAACTACCAAAAAAAACCCCAAGTCATTCTCTTCCAAATCTCTCAAGTCCTCTTCAGCCCTATTTGGGAACCACTTTGCTCTTTCTAGGAAGCCTTGTTATACAAGTAATCTTTTCACATCTTCCTGATGTATATGTGTCATCATTAGTCTTGACGTCCAAGTCAAAGTTTGTGTGGGTATCCGTCCTGCCTCTTCTGGTGCATTTAATTAGCAGAGAGCCTTTAATTTTTTAGATGAAGTGCTTTTTGTTTTCTGATGTTGCTGTTATTTTCAGTGTTATTTTTTGAGGTCAGAGAATGTATCATGTCACCTGTTATACACATCCTACAATTGAGTCATATACTCTTTGCCCTTGACTCACACCTCCCCTCATTCTGCAGTGATACTCCTGAGTCTTTTCCTGAATCTGGATTGCCATCTTCCACCTTATATCTGATATTTCCTTTTAACAGTCCCAGGCACTCTGGTATCCCAGGACTTTACTCCACATTTTAATTTCTTGATTCTCTCCAGCATCTCCAAATGGAAGGAATTTCTTACTTCATTCAAGTACATATCTGTGATTGTCTGAAAAGGCATCACAATACTGGGAAGTACAAGGATGGCTGGCCTTGAAAATAAAGAAAAGGAAGAAAGGATATGAAAAAGGATATGAACCACCACAGATTTAGCATATTTAGATGGAGAAGGAATAATAAAACTCAACTGAAGATAAGTAAGAACAATTATTTAGCACCTTGATATATCAGAACCTTGTAATTCAGTGATGAAAAAAAGGACTGGGCGCCTGGGTGGCTCAGTCAGTTAAGCATCTGCCTTCGGCTCAGGTCATGATCCCAGGGTCCTGGGATCGAGTCCCGCGTCAGGCTCCCTGCTCAGCAGGGAGTCTGCTTCTCCCTCTGCCTCTGCCTGCCACTCTGCCTACTTGTGCTCTTTCTATCTCTCTGTCAAATAAATAAATAAAATCTTTTTTAAAAAAAGGATTGTGTCTGCTTTTGGGGAAGTTTAGGGAAATGTAAGTAGAATATCAAATAAGGAAACTAATGATATCATAATTGGAAACAAAGGGATGGTGGAAGGAATGAAGTGCTAGAACATAAAAAGAGAGACATGGATATACTTAGATAGAGTAAGCAGGTGCAGCCTTTCTAAGGGATAGGACATTTATCCTGAGACTAAAGGATGAGAAGAATCAGCTTACAAAGTGCCCAGGTCCAAGGAGTCTTGTCATACAAACAGTCTTTGGAAAGCATCAAGTGATAGAGAAGATTGTACCATATCCTAAGTGCTGAAAGGAGAGAACGTGAAAGGGGGCACCTCGGTGGCTCAGATGGTTAAGCGTCTGCCTTTGGCTCAGGTCATGATCCGGGGTCCTGGGATCAAATCCCACATCGGGCTCCCTGCTCAGCAGGGAGCCTGCTTCTCCCTCTCCCTCTGCTGTTCCCCCTGCTTGTGCTCTCGTTCTCTCTGTCAAATAAAATCTTAAAAAGAGAGAGAGAATGTGAAAGGAGATGGGGCAAAGGAGTCTGGACATTCCAAGAGTAAAGAGAAACGCTAGAGAAACTTAGGATAAATTCTTAACCTTTGATCTGCATTTAAATCAGTGGTAGAAAGATTCAAAATAAAGATGCCAAGGTTTTTTCCCCTCTCAGTTCTTAGTTGGTCTCTGACAGAACCAGGATATCAGATTTATAACAAGCTTGCCAAAGATTCTGGCCCATACCTAAATTTCAGTAACTTCATTATCTCACATAATTTCACATACATCTCTGAACTCTTGGCCTTTCAAAAATTTCATAACCATATTTTATAATTCAATAAGCCCTCACTTATTACGATTGTTGGTTCGTATTTCTTTCGTACAAGTTCCATGTTCTCTAGTATAAGAAATACAAATATTTTTTTGTTTTCTTTTGTTTCAGATTTGGATTTACATTGTGAGGTGATCAGCTATGTAGAAATGCCCACTTATGAGAAAGATATATCTTCTATACAACATCAGAGCACATACAACAGTGAGAAACTCTATGAATGTAAGAAATGTCAGAAGAAATTTAGTAGTGGCTATCAATTTTTTCTACATCACAGGTTTCATATTGGTGGAAGGCCTTATGAATGCAAGGACTGTGGGAAGAACTTTCGTAGTGGCTATCAACTTACCCTACATCAGAGATTTCATACTGGTGAGAAACCCTATGAATGTACAGAATGCGGGAAGAACTTTAAAAGTGGTTATCAACTTACTGTACATCAGAGATTTCATACTGGTGAGAAAACCTATGAATGTAGTGAATGTGGGAAGGCCTTTATTTATGCCTCACACATTGTGCAGCATGAGAGAATCCACACTGGTGGGAGGCCTTATGAATGTCAGGAATGTGGGAAGGCCTTTAGTCAAGGTGGACACCTTAGAATTCATCAAAGAATTCATACCGGTGAGAAACCCTATAAATGTCAAGAATGTGGGAAGGCTTTTAGTAGGCGCTCAAACCTTGTTGAACATGGGCAAATCCATACTGATGAGAAACCTTATGTATGTGAGAAATGTGGGAAGGCCTTTAAAAGATGTCACCAACTTACTGTACATCAGAGTGTTCATACTGGTAAAAAACCATATGAATGTAAAGAATGTGGGAAGGGCTATACCACTGCCTCATACCTTATTCTACATCAGAGAATTCATAAAGGTGGGAAACCATATGAATGTAAGGAATGTAAGAAAACCTTTACCTTGTATAGAAATCTGACTCGACATCAGCGTATTCACACTGGTGAGAAACTTTTTGAATGTAGGCAGTGTGGGAAGGTCTATACTACTGGCTCAAAACTTTTTCAACATCAGAAAACTCACACTGGTGAGAAGCCCTATGAATGTAAGGAATGTGGAAAGGCTTTTAGCTTATATGGATACCTTCATCAACATCAGAAAATTCATACTGGTGTGAAACACTTTGAATGTAAGGAGTGTAAAAAAACCTTTACTTTGTATAGAAATCTTATTCGACATCAGAGTATTCATACTGGTAAGAAACTTTTTGAATGTAAAGAATGTGGGAAGGCCTATAGTACTGCCTCAAACCTTGTTCAACATCAGAAAACTCATACTGGGGAGAAACCCTATGAATGTAAAGAGTGTGGAAAGACCTTTAGCTTGCATGGATATCTTAGTCAACATCAGAAAATCCATACTGGTGTGAAACCCTATGAGTGTAAGATATGTAGGAAAACCTTTACTTTCTATAGAAACCTTACCCTACACCAGAGTATTCATACTGACGAGAAACCCTTTAAATGTAAGGAATGTGGGAAGACCTTTAGACGTAGTTCACACCTTACCGCACATCAGAGTATTCATGCCGATAAGAAACCCTATGAATGTAAGAAATGTGGGAAGTCCTTTAAAATGTATGGATATCTTACGCAACATCAGAAAATTCATACTGGTGGGAAACCCTATGACTGTAAGGAATGTGGGAAGGCCTTTAGTCGTGCTTCAAACCTTGTTCAACATGAGAGAATTCATACTGGTGAAAAACCCTATGTGTGTAAGAAGTGTGGGAAAGCCTTCAGATATGGTTCAGCCCTTAAAGCACATCAAGGAATGCATACAGATATGAAATTCTAAGAACATAGGAATGTGACAGTGCCTTTAGGCACGGCCTAGACTTTTTTAACACCAGGTGAGAGAATTCATAATGTAGTTCTTATCACTTTATAAAGATCTCAGTGTCACTCCTGTTTTAATGGAATGTTTGACTTTAAACAATAGCAAATTAAACCCAGAGTAGCCAAAGCAATCTTGAAAAAGAAGAATAAAACTGGAAGTATCACGATCCCAGACTTCAAGATATACTACAAAGCTGTAGTAATCAAAGCAGTGTGGTACTGGCATAAAAATAGACACATGGACCAATGTTACAGAATACAGAGCCCAGAAATAAACCCACAACTATATGGTCAATTAGTCTTCAACAGAGGAGGCAAAAACATGCAATGGGGAAAAGTCTCTTCAACAAATGATGTTGGGAAAACAGGACCACTTTCTTACACCAGACACTAAAAATAAACTCAAAATGGATTAAAGACTTAAATGAAAACCGTAAAAATCCTAGGGGAAAGCACAGGCAGTAATTTCTCTGACATGGGCCATAGCAACATTTTTTTAGATAGGTCCCCTGAGGGAAGGGAAACAAAAGCAAAAATAAACTACTGGGACTACATCAAAATAAAAACTTCTGCACAGCGAAGGAAACAACCTACAGAATTGGAGAATATATTTGCAAATGACAAATAAAGGGTTAGCATCCAAAAAATACAAAAAAACTTACACAACTCAACACCAAAAAAACAATCCAATTTAAAAATGGGCAGAAGACGTGAACAAACATTTCTCCAAAGAAGACATAAGATGGCCAAAAGACACATAAAAAGATGCTCAACATCACTCATCATCAGGAAAATGCAAATCAAAACCACAATGAGATATCACCTCACACCTGTCAGAATGGCTAAAATCAACAACACAAGAAACAGTGTTGGCAAGGATGTGGAGAAAAAGGAACCTCTTGCACTGTTGGCGGGAATGCAGACTGGTGCAGCCACTAAAAAAAAAAAAAACCAGTATGGAGGTTCCTAAAAAAATTAAAAATAGAACTATCACAGGATCCAGTAATTCCACTACTGGATATTTACCAAAAGGATACAACAACACTAATTTGAAAAGATGTATGCACCCTATATTTATTGTATTATTATTTACAATAGCCAAATTATGGAAGCAGCCCAAGTGCCCATCAATAAATGAATGGATAAAGATGTGAAGTATTTATATATATATATATTTGCCATAAAAAAGAATGAAACCTTGCCGTTTGCAATGACGTGGATTGATCTAGAGGGTATAATGCTAAGTGAAATAAGTCAGGCAGAGAAAGACAAATACCATATGATTTCACTCATACGTGGAATTTAAGAAACAAATGAACAAAGAAAAAAAGGCTCTTAACTATAGAAAACGAACTGATGGTTACCACTCTGGGGGTTGGGGGGATGGGGGAAATAGGTGAAGGGGATTAAAAGAACACTTATCGTGATGAGCACTGAGTAATGTATAGAATTGTTGAATCACTATATTGTACACCTGAAGCTAATATAACACTGTATGTTGACTGTATTGGAATTAAATTTAAAAAAAAATGACAAATTAAGACCAAAATATGGGAATCTCAATTTTTTCATGCCTACAACGTGCATGGAATTTTCAATTAAGTTTGTTAATTTAGGGGTGCCTGGGTGGCTCAGTCAGTTAAGCGTCTGCCTTCGGCTCAGGTCATGATCCCAGGGTCCTGGGATTGAGCCCCACATCAGGCTCTCTGCTTAGCGGGAAGTCTCGAGACTTCCCGCTGAGCAGAGAGGACTTCTCCCTCTCCCTCTGCCGCTCCCCGTGCTTGTGCACTCTCACTCTCTCTGTCAGATAAATAAAATCTTAAAAATTTTGTTAATTTAATGAATGGCTAAACGCCTTCCATAATAATGGCTGTGTTACAAATTACCTCAAATCTTAATGGCTCATCATTAAAACAGCTCTCACAGTTTCTGTGGGTCAGAAATTCAGGAGTGACTTGGCTGAGTGCTTCTGGATTGGGTTTTTCATGAGATTTCAGTCATCTGAAGGATCGGGTCCAGGTGGTTCACTCACATTGGCTTCTGGCACAGAGAAGGAGTGTGTCAGGAGAAAGCCATCCTCATCCACAGTGGACCTGATTTACATGAGGAAATCCTGGACTTGAAGTTGATGCTGTAAATGGGTGAGGCTCCTGGCACTTCTTTAGTGTATTTTGCATGTGGTAAGAATGTAAACAATTTATACTCGGGTCCCTGGGTGGCTCAGTCGTTAAGCGTCTGCCTTCAGCTTCGGTCATGATCCCAGGGCGCTGGGATTGAGCCCCGCATCGGGCTCCCTGCCCTGCCGGAAGCCTGCTTCTCCCTCTCCCACTCCCCCTGCTTGTGTTCCCTCTCTCTGTCAAATAAATAATATTTTTAAAAACAAAACAAAAAAGCCAACAAAAAAACAATTTATACTCAGAGGACCAGTGGTTGTGTTTTAAGAAACATATCCACAAATTCTTTGAAACTGCACCCTTCAAAACTGAAGCCTCTCTCTTGCTGCATTCCAGGCCACCTGAAAATCTGAGTAAGTATGTCTGCTTCTCACAGTTTCTGTGAATCAGGAATTTGGGAACAGATAGGCGAAGGAGTTCTGGCGCCAGGTATCTCATGGATTGAAGATCTCAGAGATTGATGGGGGTTGGAGGATCTGCTTTCGAAGATGGCTTCGTTTTGTGGCTGATAAGTTCATCCTGGCAAGTTATTTCCTCTCCAGCGGGACCTCTCCATGTGCTGCTTGAGTGTCCTTGTGACAGGATAATTGGCTTTTATCAGAAGTGATCCTATAATCTAGCCTTGGCAATCACTTCTGCCTCATCCTCCTGATTAGCAGTAAGTAGGTCAAGTCCAGCCCACATTCACCAGTCATCCTTTCATATTAATCTTGTCTGCTCTAAAATTACGTTAACTTTCTTTTGTAAGTATTTAACTGGTATAATTTTTATCATCTTTTTCATTGCCACTTCTCTTTCTCCTTAAGCTTTAGATGTGACCCTTTTAACACCTACACCCAGATTTTTTTAAATTTATTTTTTTAAAGATTATATTTTCTAAGTAATCTCCACACCCCAAGTGGGGCTTGAACTCACAACCCCAAGATCAAGAGTAGCACCCTCCACCTACTGAGCCAGCCAGGTGCCCCTATTTTAATTTTTTTAAATTAATTAATTTTTTTTGATGTAGTGTTCCATGATTCATTGTTTGCGTATAACACCCAGTGCTCCATTCAATATGTGCCCTCTTTAATACCCATCACCAGGCTAACCCATTCCCCAACCGTTAATTTTTTTTAATAGGAGAAAAAAACCCCAAAGTTTTATTTTGTGCAGTGGAGGCTCAATAATGAAATTGAAACCTCCTTAATTTTTAAATTGATGTTTAATGGAATTAGTCCATTTAATTTACCAATGATTATTGACAAACATGAATCATTTTTAGTTGCCTAATGTTCTTTCTGTTTTTCTCTCAATTTCTTGTTTTCTTTCACATTTACCTATTCTTTCTTGATCCTTTTTTTTTATCACTTTGGAAAATTTTCACTCTTGTTTGATTCTGTAGGCTGTTAATAGAGAAATACAACAAGCATTTTAACTTAAAGTCCAAATTTAATTAATACCTACAGTTTTCCACACACCTGACATTTGTTAGAATTCTTCAATTTCAGGGGCACCTGGGTGGCCCAGGTGGTTAAGCTGGACTCATGATTTTGGCTCAGGTCATGATCTCAGTGTCCTGAGATGAGCCCCAAGTGGGGCTCCTCACTGGGTGTGGAGCCTACTTAAGATTCTCTCTCCCTTACCCCCTGCCCCTCTCATCCTGTACCCGAGTGTGTGTTCTCTCTCTCTGAAAAAAAAAAAAAAAAAGCTTCAATTTCAACCTGGCACCTCTACCTACTGCCAGGTGGCGTCTGTCGGCATAAAAGGCACCCTATCAATGATTGTAAGGCCCTTTCGGCTCCCCCGCCAGATGTCACCCCAACCCGGATCTGGGCAAGCCTGTGCAGGCAAGAGGAAAAGGCAAGGATGATGGCTTCAGGTAAACAGTAGATGCTGCCATCAGCTTGGTGTTGGACCAGATCAGATCGTGTCTGAACCACCCGGAAGAGAACCTCTTATCTCCATGTCTGTCTCCAGGAGCTGCCTGAGTCCAACTGGCAGACATGCCTTGAGTTCCAGCCCAGCTCAGGGAGGCCCCTAGGCTCTGCTAGCCCCCAACCAAGCCCCAACCCTTCCTCTCTGGGCTAGGTTTTGGCCCTGGGCACTCAGCACCTGACTTAGATACCTTTTCAAGGTCTGGCCTACAGGTCCTCTGGTAGGTCTGCCTGCCTGGGCCACCCTTCTGGTACTCCCCTTGGCATGCCTGGCCAGCCCCCACCACATGGCATCCCCTCCTGGGGCCAGGTATGAGCCTGCAACCCACCCACCTTGCCTGCCTGTCTAATTCCTGGGCTCTCCCCACTCTGCCCAGGCCTTGAGTGTCTACATTAAGCATATCTCAAACACCAGTGAATTAAAAAAAAAAAAAAGTTTCCACTTCAATCCTCCCTTAAAAGTTGCTATTATGTAGTTCCTTGATAATTTTTCCTTTAATTTTTTTCAGGTTTTTGTTTTTTTAAGATTTTTACTTATTCATTTGAGAGAGAAAACATGAGCGGAGGGGAGAGGGAGAAGGAGAAACAGACTCCCCACTGAGCAGGGAGCCTGACTCGGGGCTCCATCCCAGGACCTGACATCATGACCTGAGCTGAGGGCAGACGCTTAACCGACTGAGCCACCCAGGTGCCCCCCTTTTATTTTTAATTGAACAAATTAGACATTATATTAGCAGTTCACACAGTAAATGGTAAGATATATAGAGGTTATACAGTAGGAATAGTTAGCACATTTTATAAATATTTTATTGTCTTTAATTTTGTTTTCTATTTTCTGTTGAATTATTTTCTGCC